GGGGGGGGGGGGGGGGGGGGGGGGGGGGGGGGGGATACAATCACAGGTGTGGATTCAGAGATATTTTTTGACAGTCTTCCAAATTATCTTTGTTGATCCATCCTCCATTTTTGACTTCCAACATATAAAATCAGATACCCATCAATGTAAACTTGAAAATCTGACTGTCTTCCGGAAGACCCAGAAGACGGCCTCAATCCGCTCCTGCAATCACTCTGTATCCCAGATCCCTATTTTATATATTTCCTTATACATATCCAAGAAGGTAAATAGAAATTGTGTAACTCTACTTCTTATTCAGATAAAGCCACCAGTAGATAATGATTACAAAACTAAGACCTGTAACATCATGTCTGTGTGCTTAAAAGATTAGTGATGTAGCTCCTCGTTTTACATGAAAAAAGTGTGATATGTTTGGGGATTTGTATGTATATGACTGGGTTTCCATGCCTAGATTGATCCATCTGGATCACTATAACTCCTTAGGGAGTCTCACTAAATTGCTATCAACTTACCGGCTTAAATGTCTGTCACACCTACCGAATCAGCTAGGGAGTAAAGATAATTACGCCCTAACAGTTTTACTAGGCGTGATAAACATTTAAGCCGATTAAATTGATAGAAATTTAGTGAGAATCCCCAGTGAGTTAGACCGATCCAAATATCTGTGGGAATGGTCCCTACATCTGCTTGTTTGTGTAGAGAGAGAGAGAGAGAGAGAGAGAGAGAGAGAGAGAGAGAGAGAGAGAGAGGTAAAGATTTCACCCATGTACAGGCATGACTTTCCTATCCCCCACCCCCACCCCAGCCTATCCCTAAACATACAGATTGTGATTTCTGATCTCCAGGTTGTTATCCAATAACTGTGACATTGATGATTATAGTGCTCTGTGAGAGCTGGCTAAATGGGAGCCAGTCCTATTTCCTGGTATCATCATGAGTTTGAGTGGCTACATGGGAGTGTTACCAGAGGTGGTGTGCTGAAAAGGATAAAGGTGCTGCCCCCTGGTTTATTTTAAAAAATGGAAAAGAAAAAGTCTTTGTGTGTGTGTATGTGTGTGTGTGAGAGAGAGAGAGAGAGAGAGAGAGAGAGAGAGAAAATTAAGTGAAATAGATGGAAGATTCCATGTAAAATTCATAATAGTGGAATTTATGAGGAAACAAATTGGTCTTTCACTCCAATCTTTTTTTATGGAGGGGGGACCAATGTTTAACATAACTGATGGACAATGCAACATTAAGCAGGGCCGTAGCCTCCGGGGGGGCAGGGGGGGCAGCTGCCCCCCCTGGGATTTGAGGCGCAAATATTGCAAAATGGCAAAATGAACCCACAATTTTTGGCTTCTGATTGAGCAATAAATAACAGTTAAAATGCACCAGAATGCAGTATTATACATACAGTTTTTTAAAAATTTTCCACACCCACCCCACCCCCTCGGGGGCTTTGCCCCCTCGTGTCCGCTTACTGCCCCCCCTGGCATTTTGCTCAGGCTACGGCCCTGTTAAGTGTATAATTGAAGGTATAACAAACAGAAAAAAAAGGATTTTGTGATTTAAACTATTTTATTTTGCTCAAATATTTCACTAAATATTTAAAGTTATATTGTAATATTTTTATATACTCTGAATTGATAAACTTTTAATACATGTTTTCTGTGATTTTTCCCTCTTTTAACAGACAATTCACCTGTTTGGTGAGATTTGCAGATTTTGCTAAAAGTCTTATTTCATTTAAATATAAAGCTCTGTGTACATAAAATTACAAGCAGCAGATATGATTTTGCCTCAGTGAGATCTCTCATGATGTGCTTATTCTTTGTACATAAAATCTTCTGTTACTAACTATAAGCTCAGAACCTGATATGATCTAACGGGCCTTCGGGCAAAACATAGTTATAAAAAGTTTTTAGTTCACTTTGACGGACTGTCCTGTTTTTGGTGCGCAATGAGTCATGTCAACTGCTGCTGCTTTTACACCCTTCACTCCCATTGGCTGATCACAAACACCATTCTTAAAGCTGAATTTCAGTCGACATTCTGCACTTTGCAGAAATTCCCAAAATGTATAAAATCCACAGTCACAGTGCAATGGGTTCCCAGCCAGATTGACTGCCACTTTGCTTGTAGATGATATCCCAAAGTCTTTTACAAACAACGTATTTACTGGCTGATAGAAAATATCCAGAGGAAGGTCGGTAAGATTGTTATGGGACAGGTCGAGGTCCTTGAGGTTGTCCATGAACTGTAACGCCTGTAACATTGGCGGAACAGTAAATGGTTTGCGATTGAAGCTGGATATTTCATTGTGGCTCAGGTTTAGAGTGGTCAGGCTTTGCTGGATGGAAATACCTACTTGTACAGCCGCCATCTCGTTGTAGGAGAGGTCTAGGAGTTGCAGGCGCTGGTTCCAGCTAAAAGGGAAACCGTTGACGTTGGTGCCAACTTGTGCAATCTGGTTGTGTGACAGGTCGAGTGTTTTTAGGTTGATAAGGTGATCAAACACTGTGTCTTGTATCTGTGATATTTTATTATTGGACAAATCGATATTTTCTAAAGCATTCAAACCACGGAACATTTGAGATGGAAGAAGCGAGATGGCATTCCCGCTGAGGTCAATTGACTCTAATGGCGAGTTTTTCAGGCTGCGGAATTCTTCCCCATCCAGGGTGATACTGATGTTATTCTTTGACAAGTCGAGAGATTTTAAGGCACCAAACTCAACAAATGTGTTATTTTCAATGGTGGTAAGGTCTGCACAGTGTCTTACTGTAAGTGTTTCCAAGGTGGTTGCCAGTTTTGTGAACAGATCTGCTGATAGGAGCTGGATGTTGGAGTGAGTGACGGTGAGGTGAGCGATGTCCACCTCTCCCAGGACTTCTCTTAACTGGACTCCCCTGGGAAGGTCAAGGTTCTTGCAGGTGACATCTATGGACAACTGGTTGTCACCATCAGGTTTATAGGTACACTTTGGGTTTGGTTTCCCTGTGGTATGAGACAGTAGAGTACAGACTATGACCAGCAGTAGCAGAGAACATTTCATAGTGATACTCCTGGGGAGAAAAACAGTGTATTGTTAGTTAGGGTAGACCTTGTAAAACAAACATTTTACAAACCCTGAATACCCCAGTGTTTTGATATGAAATCAGTATTGGAGTGAAAAAATAAAAATAGGATCTGCTTTTAAAACTATTCTGCAATATACAAAAGATATTTTTTCACAAAATGTTTCACTAAAATATTGCTTAAAGGGATAATAACTTTTCGTATGAGATCTATATTTCACAATAAAAACATTTGTGAATAACTCACAGAAATGTAATATATACTGTTTTAACACAAAAACGGCAGTTATAGCTATTATTCTGATACCTGAGCTTGTCTTCAGACCACGTAACCTCCATTGATGGCTATACTCTGTTAAAATCTCTGAAGAGATTTTAACAAAAAACCAAACTTTTTAGAAAAAAACTAGGGACTTACTTTGAATGTAAAAATGGATTCATTAACCATTGGTGAGTATGGGAAAATTGTTGTTTACTTCAGGAAAATTCATTTTTTTGCCGAAACGAAGAGTTATTATCCCTTTAATAACAGAAAAACTGATGACAGATTAACAATCTTATTATGTTACTGATCAATAATCTGACTGGTATTTGCCCCCTGCTATTTGTACCTTGTACTTACATGTTCAATGTCAAACTCTCTAGGTTATCTTCAGCTATTCTGTTTTGTATTATATTCTACAATATATATTGATCACTAATTTTCAGATGACCAATAGATGACCATCATCCAATATGCAAAATGGCCCCCAGAACTGTGTGCAGACAAAGTTGTGTTGCTTCTTATCTCCTCAACGCTGCTATACTGGGCCGCTCTCTCTGATTACAGACAAAGATCCGTTGAAATCTTTTAGTGGTTATCACTTCTGACTGATTAAAGGTGTCAGTAGGATAGAGTTGAAGTGCTTATGTACTTTGAAAATGAATCATAATATTTACTGGAGTAGCAATTTGGATAGGTATTTATAGATTTATGTTATCTTCCTTCTTTTTTGTATCAACCAATCAGCTCAGCTTAGTGATCTGGTTTCGAAAGTGCTCTTATGTCGCAAAACAGTTTGATATATGTTTACAAGGTAGCCTGTTATTAAGACCCCTTTTTTAATAGATGGATATGATTAAATGAGGGTATTCAAGTCAACACATCCTTGTAGCTGTTTTTATCCATTTTTTAATCCTGATTTATAGCCTTTAGAAAACCAATTATATTGTTTTTCTTACACTTTCCTTCTTTTCGACACTTAATATTTTGTCTAACTTATTCATATTTGAAGGCTCAAGTTTAATGTAAAATTACTCTGAAGGTGTTTGGATCACACAGTCTTTTCATCTATGATCAATTATCTTATGGTACCTAGATCATTCCTTCCTTGTAAGACTGCTGTTGACCAATCAGGAGTCTTATTTACATCATTCCCGTTATCTATAAAGCCATTTGAGATGAGTAAATAGGTTCAGTGGTAACAACACACAATATGTGGCATCCAGTGCCATCACTCATTTCATGGGTGTTTTTATGGTTGAAGTGGTTTAAGGTATCAGTTTGAGGTTAGCCAGTGGTCTGAGGGGCACTGGAAATCATTCGAGATGGTCTCAAAACGAGGCTGTCAATTCTGTGTGATGTCATAAGAGATTAGAAAATGTGCGCGATTTCGCTTGAGGTGGGGTTAACTTTTAAGCAATAAGGGTGAAACTGTTTACACCATGAATGTTGTCTTAAAAAAGCAAAATAAAATAAGAGATGCAAAACCTGATAAATGCAATTAACAACAAAAGAGAAAACAAACAGGAAACTGTCTGTGGAAAAGTTCTGTCAGCTTTTATTTCTTGCTGCACCCCACTCTAGTCTGCCATTATTGCTGGCCTCATACTGCTCTAAGGCTCTATTCCCATAGATTAGATCGACCTACTTTAGATCGACCTAACTCCCTGGGGGTTCACGCTAAATAGCTGTCAGCCGGGCGGACACGAAAGTTAATTACCCTCTTACAGCTTGTAGTAGGCGGGACGGACATTTAAGTCGGATTATCTGAAAGTAATCTAGTGAGACTCCCCGCGGGGATAGATCGATCTAAAATCTATGGGAATAGAGCCTAAATCCCTTGAAATCTCGTTTCATTTTAATTCCAAGTTGCTAAACTTAAGGCTATCTGAGAGTGTTGACAGTAGTTTCCTAGTTCCTGCCAAGTTTTATTTAGAGCAAAGGTCAGATCAGTGGCTTATATATCCAAGACCTACTTTTTCCTTTTATTATTTTCCTTTTAATATTTCATCTTATTTTTTCTTTTCTAAATATTTTTAGGTAAGAGTTATGAATTAAGTCACACTATTTCTTATTTCCTTGGTGCCCTGATAGGAATTTTGCTTTGTTATGATTGCTGTATTCAGATTACATTAGGTATCAAATTATTTTTTCCGTCTTAGATTACTTAAAACTTTACAGACAGTTTACATTTTGCTATTAATAATAGAACAGGAACTTTACTGTTCAGATTAAAGGGAGAGTCATGGTAACGGTCAAAGTAAAATTTCTTGACACACGTTTTCATTTGTACGAAAGGTATGGTAGAGCATTTGGTTGTTTCATAAATAAATAAATAAACCAATGGATGACTGAATATTAAATGAATGAATGAATGAATGAATGAATGAATGAATGACTGTTGCTTTGTGAAGCCATATTTAATAGTATGTATGGAGAATAGTTTGACATCATATTACGTTTACCTATATGAAAGAGAAGGAGAAGGGAAAGTCAAAATGATGTCACCTCATGGTGATTGATTACCCTTTGATGTTGCAATAAACCACAATTGATGGTAGATAAATGCCTGTTTCTTTCCACTTTTTGTGGCCATTTTATGAACTGTTCGCTTTTTAGTTTGGGGCCATTAAGCAATGTAAATTGCTTTTAGAGTTATTGGAAAGCATTTCTCATTAATACTCATGAAAACAAAAGTGTCATTTTCTGCTCAAATTATGAAAAACGACTATTGATTGTTCTGATGGTGATTATTTCTGCTGTAGCGTGTCAATGAAAATAAACTTCTGTGAGTGTTAGGAAGAACTGTGTGATGTCCCTCAAGACCAGATAATATATATTTTGTTAATTAATTTTCATTTGATGATAATAAATCACCTCCATACCATCTCATTTCAGGCATGCGCCCAGAAAAGCTCCCCCATTTTGATGAGGAATGCTGGGAACTGATGCAAGCGTGTTGGGCAGGTGACCAGAACAAGCGCCCTCTGTTGGGAGATGTTGAGCCGCAGCTGAAGGCCATCTTGGAACGGTTTAAGATCTCCCCCGCGGCCCACATGGCACCAAACAGTAAAGCTTTGCATAAACTGTTGAGCACCAATCTATAGGAGTTAACACACAAGGCCTGCGTTATCTACTCACCCTCTTCTTACGGTGTCTGTGTGATGTCTGTTTCAAATACAAACTATTATAACGAATGCACGGGCTATCAGTCAGGTGTTTGCCATATGCATGTGCGTGAAGCGCACGTGGATGCCACGTAGATCTGGCTTACGAGAAGAAAAGCTACACACAAGCATGTATGCGTGTAAGGTTCAAGGCTTTGCTTCTCAAAAACTGCTGTGGTGTTAACTGTTTAAAAAACGTGGAGCTGGAGTGACTGAAATCACGATCAATATTGAACAATTGCTGTATGGACCTGACCCTGGATAGTACTGACCTGGTGGACTGTTTACACAAATTCTGGTGGATCACACTGTTTAAATGCCAGGCTGGCCCTTGGCAATCCTGGCTCGTTACCAGAACCATTCCATTTGTCTAAATTAATAGCACAACACTAAAAGCTGTATATAAGTACACGTTGGATTTCTCATTCTGATTTATAGCACAAAAAGAAGGCAATTACTGGTAGTTGTGCAAAGATATCATCTGATTAGGTGCTCTTTGCAAACATGATTTTCTTCCAATTCAAATCGAATATTTGAAAGGGGCCCCAGGGCCCTCAAATGGGAAGATCAAAGAGCCATTTCTTTCTACTTTTTTCTTCCAACCCAAAATCATGTCTGTCTTTGATACAGTCTGTGTTGGTTCTGTTACTCTCAAGGAATCAGATGCGGTCCTGGCTCTTATAGTGGTTATATCCAGTTCAAACTACCATACCCAGTCTGTTCCAATAACTCTAATAGCCTCCTGGACCCAGCCTAAGGTGCTTCAGGACGTGAGGGTTCAGAATCTACTGCCTCAGAGCAGAAACCATGACCTGCAGCTGAACAGTTTTACCAAAATTCAGCTCAGATTCAATTTTACTGACATTTGGTGTGGAGTCAGTAGCTATTAACATTGCAGGTGGCAGCACTGTAGAGATTTCAAATAATCACTGTCTGGGTTTTATTTAACAGCAAAATAATTTTAAGTTCTGCCAAAAATCTTGTTGGACAGGAGAGATAATGAGGGTGTGGTCAGTAAGGGGCCAATGGCCATTGGTCATTTAAAAAGTGACTCTCTAGATTTCTGATATTATGTACAAATAAGATGATGTATAAAAACAGTGTAAAGCTGATGGTGAAGAGATACATGTAAAAAATACCTGCACATTTTGTACATTGAATTTGACATGTTAGGCCAGTCTGTCTTGGTACGGTAATTACTCTTTGAATTCAAACACCATGAATTAGTCATTTACCCCTAAAATACTTAATTAGTAATACTTAAAAACTGTGATTTTATGTTTTTGAAAAGATAGGTGGTTGTCTAGAGGGACAAATTTGTAAGGGTTTAGAAGTGATGAATCTTTTGAAAAACAAAAGTGTGATGTTTGAATATTTTAGGTAATTACTGTACCAGTTTAACAAGCAAAGTATTAGGTTTTCATTTGTTTTAGCCCAACAAGTGAAGGCTGAATAACCAACAGTATGTAACAAGATGGTGACTTGAAAATTTAAGTTGAAAATCGAGGTAATACTGTCAAGCATCCTGTAAAAATTATGAGAATATATCAGTGTTTCTAATTCACTGACTTGTGTACTGGTATTCCACGTACTTACAGGGTTGCCAACATTTGATCATGAAAAATATGTAGATTTCCAAAATATATATCTGAAAAATTAGAAACTCTTTAAGTTTTTTTTTTTTTTTTTTTTTTTCAGGAAATGTTAATTGTTTTAATTCAAAATTTATTGTGAAGTATGAGATGAAACAGATAAGAAACAGAACACTAAAATGTATATAATTCATTTATTGAGTCACATTCCAAATAAATGCAGTATCATAATTGTGACTGTATCACTAGTCAGATGAGCCGGCTGTTTAAATGAGTAGAAATGGGACTTTCTTTGTATACTGAGAGATAGAGAACATTTTCATGGTTAAAACATGCGTAGAATACTCACAAATAGGTAAAGTTGACAACTCTTTAAATTTTTTTTTTTTTTTCTTGAAAAGCTCCATGTGCTTGCATTGCTATCTCAATATATGGCAAATGTTTGACTGTTTATTGTTCTATAAAATATAATACATATATGTAAAGAATATGTTATATGTATGCAAGGCTCCTAAGTGCCTATGTCCAAATAATGTGATTATGAGATATATGTGCATCTTACAGGATACCAGATGAAAACATGTGCAAGGCCCATCATATAGACACATTTTTTTTTTTTTTTTTTTTTGGAAGGAGTTGGGAGAAATGCTCTTTTTAGTTAAAAAAGGTCTACTATACATCAAAATTTATTTTGCTGTTTCTCAAGCATAGCACTTGGATCAAATATGGGCATAAAAAAGCCCTTTTTTTCTTTAAGAATTCGGTGAATACGGAAATTGTTGATTGGTGTAATCAGTATGACGGTTTATAGCTGTCAGTTTTTTTTATTTATTTATTTATTTATTTATTTATTATTATTTTGTTCACAGTGGATTCATTGGGGGCCCAGTTGATTAGAAAAGAGTAGAGAAGAGGCTTAGTACAAATAAAACTTAGTAGAAGTGTATGAAAGTCAGCAGTATATCTGGAGAAATGACACAGTAACAATATGGAGGTGATATATGTTATCCATTGTAAGATAAGTAATGGGGAAATGTTAATTCTGTAAATTATTAATTTGTTTGAAGCCAACACATCTGTGTGTGATGTTTTTTGTCAATAAAATATTGTATCTATATTATCTTGTCGGGTTAATGCATAGCTTCTTAGTAGAGATGTGGAAACAATTAGTGTAAACTGGCCCTGGACTTAAAATACACTTGGAAGACTTTTTATTGTAAAATAATGAAAACATTGTACCTGTTAGCGACTACATAACACCTGGAAAATCTATCCACATGCTCTATGGCTGAACTGTTTGATTAATATTCAAATGATTGCAGGAAATTTTGGCATTTGACTTTTTCTTAATCATCTTAAAATTTGACAATGTAGTAGAGTAAACTATCCACTTACCAAGCACTGAAATTTTATGAGAATCAAAAATTTTTGGTAATTTTCCGATCTAAAGTAGCCCCCAAAATCCTGGTGGTAGGGCACAGAGCCATTTTTAAAAATTTGTTTCTCACAACCCCAAAATCATGTCTGGGTATAAATCCCATTCAACAACACTATAGTTACAGTTGTCTTGGCAAATTGGATTACATAGGAACCCACATACGTTGCTATCAATGACTGACCAAAAATCTTGAAAATGAAAGTGATATGTGATAAAACAATAGGTGATAAAATTTATATGTGATAAAAGTGATAAGTACCCCAGACTTAAATAATCAGACCTGTGGACAACATAAACACAACACACCTGTCTCAAGGAAAAGTATATTTCAACAATATTGTAAATACATTTTTCTCTTTACAACTGCAGAAAACATTCTATTAAAATTACTTCATACACTTTGTTATTTTATTTATATTTTTTAAATATATAAAAATAAATTGTATGACAGCCAAAAGGCAAAATGCACAGTCATTTTCTGTGCTCTTCATTTGCCCCAAACTCCTTAGTTCATGACAAATAAAGATGTATCCTTAACAAAAGAAACAAAGAGCATTAAAGTAATGAGGTTACAGTGCTGGTCTCATACACCTCATCAACAAAAAGCTTGTGGTGTACTCAAACCAAAGAGTCATCACATAAATACAGAGGTTATCAAGTAGCCACTTCAGAATAAATGCACAGATTGAAAATCTTTCCACCACTTCCTCTGATTTTCCTGTTGTTACAGCAGCTCTTAGTTCAAGAAGACAGGACTGTTCTAAAAACAACATGAGACCTATTTTCCATTCTGATTAATTTGACAGGAGAGTCTGGATGAAAGCTAATTTGACAACTGCTTCAACAGCACCTTTGTGACATAAATATCAACTTCTATTTCTACAACCACTGCACCTTGCTTTGTATGCATTGTAAAATACAGGAAAACACGAACCAAGCTGTGGCAGCATTGCATCTTATTTTAAAGACAAACATATTGCATAACACTAGCAAAACTGTAACACATACTTTACATAATGCCAACCAACAAAGTCAGGACATCAGCAATTTTAACAATCTTGTTCACACCCTCTCTTTTCAAGGCACTGGGAGAGTCAACACAAATTTTAATGACTATAACAGCCTTGCTGTCTGACTGTGTCTTTATGAATACAGATACATGTGGCATAATATCACACAAGATGGACATTCAATTCACAAGGCTTACTTTATTATATATCTACATTTATGTTTCTCTCACACTCTCACAACCTATGATCACATCCAAACAAAGCTTCCATGCATTTGATCACATTGCAAAAGAAAAAAACATATTCAGCATCAGCAATCAGAGGGGAGGTGGAAGAGGCAGGGGGGGGGGAGTCTGTTATCCCAAAGACCTCACTGAATTTCTCCTTGGAATATTGTAATTGGAGCCTCCAGTTGAACACATCTCACAGCAGGCACTGGCACATAGAGCAATCACCACATCTCAACTGTAGCATTTTCCTGGACTTCCTGTCTCATCTACAGCATTCTTCCAGGGAATTGTAGTAGTCTTCCAGCAGCCTCTCCTCCTCTGCCATAGAACTGGGAAGATCACTCCAGAGAAGTATGTGGGAACCTGCAGAATTTATGAGAAGGATAACAATTTATTCAGCCACTATGTATTTTAAAACGTTAAGTATTGGAAAGTGTTCTCCTCTGAGAGATAAAACAGAAATTAACAACTAAACATTGAAATATTTATAGCAAGGCAAGGAGTGAAATTAATACTAGATACAGCATAGGGATAAAAACTGCTAAAAAAATATTTACTGCCTTTTGAAGTCAGAGTTTAATTTTGCTAGGTTAAGTATTTAAAAAGAGATCCCCCAAAATTTTTGTTGTTGTTTTTTCCATTAGAACTGTCTTTTATGATATCATCAAATTGGGGAGATATCCCCCAATAATTTTATTGTAGATGTTAATAACATATTAAAAAATATACACATGAATGATAAATAACAGACTGCCTTTCTGGGACATACACCTTAAACATCTCATGTTGACACTAGGTGTGTTCTGGCATCTATCGCTCTTGTGATGGCATCTCGCACACAGCCTCCTACTCTATATACTGACCTGTGAAGTCCACTCTCTCCATTCCTACCACATACACACACACACACACAGCCTACTACTCTATATACTGACCCATGAAGTCCACTCTCTCCATTCCTACCACACACAGCCTACAACTCTATATACTGACCTGTGAAGTCCACTCTCTCCATTCCTACCACACACACACACACACACACAGCCTACTACTCTATATACTGACCCATGAAGTCCACTCTCTCCATTCCTACCACACACAGTCTCCTACTCTATATACTGACCTGTGAAGTCCACTCTCTCCATTCTTACCATACACAGTCTACTACTCTATATACTGACCCATGAAGTCCACTCTCTCCATTCCTACCACACACAGTCTCCTACTCTATATACTGACCTGTGACGTCCACTCTCTCCATTCTTACCACACACAGCCTCATACTCTGTATACTGACCTGTGAAGTCCACTCTCTCCATTCCTACCACAGAGGAGCTGTGAAACATCCAGTAGTGTCCATTATTACAGGACTGTAGACAAGGTTTACAAGCAGATATCACATGATAACCCACCACATTGCCACTGGAGAGGAGAGAAAACATGGGGTTTAATAAAGACTGTATCTGCATGCTGGGTGGGTTTCAAGTATTTGTCAACTAAAACTTATCATTATTATTTATTTCTTCTTCTCTTTATTGTTATTACTGTGATATTTTAACAAGGAAATTTAAACTCTTTGAACAGTGGGATTACAACAAATTTAACCTCTGAAATGGGCTCAGTACTAGCTGTATTTGAATGGGCTATAAAAATATATAATAAGAGAGAGATAAAATTGATGAGTTAATTTAATTGCCAAAATATTGTATCTGACNTGTGAAAATTTAATTTTTCACTTATTTGCATCTTTATTTTCTGTTCTTTGTCTGTACATTTGACAGCTTTGCTGCCTTGTTTCTTTTAAGAATTCGGTGAATACGGAAATTGTTGATTGGTGTAATCAGTATGACAGTTTATAGCTGTCAGTTTTTTATTTTATTTATTTATTTATTATTTATTTTTGTTCACAGTGGATTCATTGGGGGGCCCAGTTGATTAGAAAAGAGTAGAGAAGACGCTTAGTACAAATAAAACTTAGTAGAAGTGTATGAAGGTCAGCAGTATATCTGGAGAAATGACACAGTAGCAACATGGAGGTGATATATATTATCCATTGTAAGATAAGTAATGGGGAAATGTTAATTCTGTAAATTATTAATTTGTTTGAAGCCAACACATCTGTGTGTGATGTTTTTTGTCAATAAAATATTGTATCTATATTATCTTGTCGGGTTAATGCATAGCTTCTTAGTAGAGATGTGGAAACAATTAGCGTAAACTGGCCCTGGACTTAAAATACACTTGGAAGACTTTTTATTGTAAAATAATGAAAACATTGTACCTGTTAGCAATTTCATAACATCTGGAAAATCTATCAACATGCTCTACGACTGTTTGGTTAATATTCAAATGATTGCAGGAAATTTTGGCATTTGGCTTTTTCTTAATCATCTTAAATTTTGACAATGTACATGTAGTAGAGTAAACTATCCACTTACCAAGCACTGAAATTTTATGAGAATCAATAATTTTTGGTAATTTTCCGATCTAAAGTAGCCCCCAAAATCCTGGTGGTAGGGCACAGAGCCATTTTTAAAAATTTGTTTCTCACAACCCCAAAATCATGTCTGGGTATAAATCCCATTCAACAACACTATAGTTACAGTTGTCTTGGCAAATTGGGTTACATGGGAACCAACATACGTTGCTATCAATGACTGACCAAAAATCTTGAAAATGAAAGTGATATGTGATAAAACAATAGGTGATAAAATTTATATGTGATAAAAGTGATAAGTACCCCAGACTTAAATGATCAGACCTGTGGACAACATAAACACAACACATCTGTCTCAAGGAAAAGTATATTTCAACAATATTGTAAATACATTTTTCTCTTTACAACTGCAGAAAACATTCTATTAAAATTACTTCATACACTTTGTTATTTTATTTATATTTTTTAAATATATAAAAATAAATTGTGTGACAGCCAAAAGGCAAAATGCACAGTCATTTTCTGTGCTCTTCATTTGCCCCAAACTCCTTAGTTCATGACAAATAAAGATGTATCCTTAACAAAAGAAACAAAGAGCATTAAAGTAATGAGGTGGTCTCACACACCTCATCAACAAGAAGCTTGTGGTGTACTCAAAACAAAGAGTCATCACATAAATACAGAGGTTATCAAGTAGCCACTTCAGAATAAATGCACAGATTGAAAATCTTTCCACCACTTCCTCTGATTTTCCTGTTGTTACAGCAGCTCTTAGTTCAAGAAGACAGGACTGTTCTAAAAACAACATGAGACCTATTTTCCATTCTGATTAATTTGACAGGTGAGTCTGGATGAAAGCTAATTTGACAACTGCTTCAACAGCACCTTTGTGACATAAATATCAACTTCTATTTCTACAACCACTGCGCCTTGCTTTGTATACATTGTAAAATACAGGAAAACACAAACCAAGCTGTGGCAGCATTGCATCTTATTTTAAAGACAAACATATTGCATAACACTAGCAAAACTGTAACACATACTTTACATAATGCCAACCAACAAAGTCAGGACATCAGCAATTTTAACAATCTTGTTCACACCCTCTCTTTTCAAGGCACTGGGAGAGTCAACACAAATCTTAATGACTATAACAGCCTTGCTGTCTGACTGTCTCTCTATGAATACAGATACATGTGGCATCATATCACACAAGATGGACATTCAATTCACAAGGCTTACTTTATTATATATAGATCTACATTTATGTTTCTCTCACACTCTCACAACTTATGATCACATCCAAACAAAGCTTCCATGCATTTGATCACATTGCAAAAGAAAAAACATATTCAGCTTCAGCAATCAGAGAGGAGGTGGAAGAGGCAGGGGGGAGGGGTCTGTTATCCCAAAGACCTCACTGAATTTCTCCTTGGAATATTGTAATATTGGAGTCTGCAGTTGAACACATCTCACAGCAGGCACTGGCACATAGAGCAATCACCACATCTCAACTGTAGCATTTTCCTGGACTTCCTGTCTCATCTACAGCATTCTTCCAGGGAATTGTAGTAGTCTTCTAGCAGCCTCTCCTCCTCTGCCATAGAACTGGGAAGATCACTCCAGAGAAGTACGTGGGAACCTGCAGAATTTAAGATAAGGACAACAATTTACTCAGCCACTATGTATTTTAAAACGTTAAGTATTGGAAATTGTTCTCCTCTGAGAGATAAAACAGAAATTAACAACTAAACATTGAAATATTTATAGCAAGGCAAGGAGTGAAATTAATATTAGATACAGCATAGGGATAAAAACTGCTAAAAAAATATTTACTGCCTTTTGAAGTCAGAGTTTAATTTTGCTAGGTAAGTATTTAAAAAGAGATTTTGCTGGATGTTGGGATCCCCCAAAATTTGTTTTGTTGTTTTTTCCATTAGAACTGTCTTTTATGATATCATCAAATTGGGGAGATATCCCCCATTAATTTTATTGTAGATGTTAATAACATATAAAAAAATATACACAAGAATGATAAATAACAGACTGCCACCTTTCTGGGACATACCCCTTAAACATCTCATGTTGACACTAGGTGTGTTCTGGCATCTATCGCTCTTGTGATGGCATCTTGCACACAGCCTCCTACTCTATATACTGACCTGTGAAGTCCACTCTCTCCATTCCTACCACACACAGCCTCTTACTCTATATACTGACCTGTGAAGTCCACTTTCTCCATTCCTACCACATACAGCCTCCTACTCTATATACTGACCTGTGAAGTCCACTCTCTCCATTCCTACCACATACAGCCTCCTACTCTATATACTGACCTGTGAAATCCACTCTCTCCATTCCTACCACAGAGGAGCTGTGAAACATCCAGTAGTGTCCATTATTACAGGACTGTAGACAAGGTTTACAAGCAGATATCACATGATAACCCACCACATTGCCACTGGAGAGGAGAGAAATACATGGGGTTTAATAAAGACTGTATCTGCATGCTGGGTGGGTTTCAAGTATTTGTCAACTAAAACTTATCATTATTATTTATTTCTTTTTCTCTTTATTGTTATTACTGCGATATTTTAACAAGGAAATTTAAACTCTTTGAACAGTGGGATTACAACAAATTTAACCTCTGAAATGGGCTCAGTACTAGCTGTATTTGAATGGGCTATAAAAATATATAATAAGAGAGAGATAAAATTGATGAGTTAATTTAAATGCCAAAATATTGTATCTGACTGGCAAAATATTGTACCTGACTGGCAGAGGCATTGATCAAAGACACCATGTAACCGAACTAAGGGAATTTTTTAAAATGAATGATGTATTATAAAGTATGGGGGCTAACTACAACAATGCAGGCATGTCTACATAGAAAAGGTTTTATTTACCATTTTAAACAAGCAGTGTCCTGAATCATGCATTTGCAGTTTGCTGTAGAGTATTCATTTCCTACTGAGCAGATAGCACTGAAAAATAAACAAAAATGTCTCAATAGTTTCATCTTCCTGGAAAACTCTTTATGTCAGTGTAAATGAAGTATGTGTCTAAGTTTATGAAAATTTTTCAAACATTCCACAGCATTAAATGATAAATCAAAAGTTATTTGAAAGCATTCCATCGATGGATCAAAATTCTTACATAAACTTACCCTTGAGGTTGAAAATCTGTAGAATATAGTTCTACTTTTGTATCAGCTAATAATATTGCCTTCATTCCACGTTGACAAACTAAATTATCACAAAATCTACAGGAAAGACTGACAACATTCATTTTCTGAAATGTCGGGTGCATCTGCTTCAGTGGCATTTTTTCCTCCTTGTGAAACGCTAAAACGGTGTATGGGTAATAAAACTACACCACTCTCCTATTCAGGCAATCCTCATCCACCAAAAAGAGCAAATTTCACAAAATAATTCTCTTCTTCTGTGTTTCTAGAACGTCTGCTTCCGTGTTTAGTGTATTTTCGTTTCAGCATTCAAATCCTACGAGAGTTCTGATTGGATGAGCTGTTGTAACGGCTGATATGATTGGTTGTAGTTATGGAAAGATTTAAAACAAAATGGACCTTTAAATCTGACGTCACACCCATGATGCATTGTGGCCAGGTGATGTCAATGATCTTCCTCCCAAATCAAAAGACTTCCACTCTCTGGCTTCCTGACTTGGAAATCACGATCTTCTATCCAAAAGAAATGAAGTCTTCGTAGAAAACATTGATAGACGGTGGTCTGGATTCCAATCATGGCAATGGATAAGAGACTGAAGAAAGAGAAGGAAATGATGTTTGGCGTGGAGACGCACGTTAAAGGTAAGATCTTTCGTGTTGAATTTATCCCTTCCGCTTTGAAGTTGAAGATTGGGGTGTCTTATCTTTTATCAACACACCGCTGTATTACTGTTATAACCTCGAGGTCATGTAGCTTTCTTACGGCAGTTTCACCACTTTCTTGTCTGAGAACATTAACCATGTATATTTTGTGAAAGCAAAAGTGTATTGTTATGTAAAATCGACGGTTATTTTCAGTATTATATAGCAGACTTCGTTTATTATTTTTATCATTTTCATTCATTCGTTATCAATGCATTGCATTCCTGCCTCACGAATTTATTTAACTTGGTCGTTTTTTATCAAATCAAAATAAGCCCCTCCCCATTATATAGGTTCTTATGATGTTGATGGTCTTTATCATCGCTCTGAATGCAGAATTGTGACTCATCATTTAGGTCCAATTTTATCCATACTTGAGTGGAGCGCCTAACAATACTCTTTGTAAGTTGCCCTCTATGTGCTTGATGGGTATAACCATGGGGGTCATCATTTATTTATCAGCAGGTGCACAATATATTCATATTTTATCGCATTACTTTTGGCTTAAATATTATGTTGTTTTCAGGTATTAATGTCTTTAAGTTGTCATTTGGCCTTGTATTTATATTTGTCTTTGTAAAGTGGTCTTAACAATAGCAACACTGTTTTTAATAAGTCACAGGCACAACAATAGAAGCAGACACAGCATTATCTTTGAGTGGTGTATTGATAAGATAAAGTCCTCAAGTAAATGCTAATTAGTAATGCATACATGTTAACATGTTAATGATCAAGCAGTCCATTGTCTTTTGAATTATTTTTTATTTCCCTAACTTGAGTTGATCTTTAAGAAGGGAGCAGCAACAAGAAGGTTGTAGAAAGAAAATGCATCCATTGCCATATTTGTCTCTTCAAGTAGTTTTAAAGAGGAAATAATCTGACATTTCTGTGTAATTTTTTACATTTAGCCAGGTATATAAATTGATAAATATCTTTTTAACCATGTTTCTCTATAAGCCTATGTATGCAAATGGGAAACAAAAAGTCCACCACAATAACTTGCACTTTCTTATTTTCTCAAAGTTTCTGGTGCACATTTGAACACTGAGTAGGTTTTCAAACACAACCCCTTTGCTTTGAAACTGCAATATTACAGTTGAAATCTGTAGAGTTAGCTGGGCATAATTAAGAATTGTATTGAAACACCTGACAGACCCAGAGAGAATAATCAGAAACAGGAAAAACTCTAATAAGACACACTTCCCCTCAGGATCAGCAGCAAACAGGGTAAACAAAATAACAAAAGTGTAATTATTTTCTGAGATTAGGATGAAAATGTTGATGTAACCTGTCTTCAGAGTTCAACTATGAGGTGCGCTCTGTTGGTTTCTTCCTCTTGTGCTAATCTTTGAAGGTGTTGGATAAGTGTGGCCCGCAGATGAGATAACCAGAATCTGGCCTCGTAACCTTCTTAGAAAAGTAACAAGTGGAAGCATCTTGAAACTTCTGCCCTGTTTCCTGAACCTTTGAAGATACCAAATACCAAAAGTGTTACGGTAATCACTCTACAGTTTTGAACAAAAGTAACAAGTGCAATTTCCTAAGTTTTTATCTTTTGCTGGCAGTACCTGAAAAAATTTATAAATAGTAGTAAACCCATGATTATACGTATATTTTTGTGAAAAGCAGAAAAGATAACATTTGAAAAAATGAAGTGTTTAGGGTAGTGAAGTATTTGAAATTGTTAAATAATTGCAATAAACGCTCAGAGAGGAAATGCACAATGTTGAAAATATCTGGAGAATGGCAGCAGGTATCTTTAGCATTTTGTACGTGTATTCATTTTACAACTAATTAAGCAAAAAAATGGGCTTTCGGAATAAAAGTTCTTTGGACTAGTGGACTTTGGACTGAAAAAAAAAAGAAATAATTGCATAAGGTTCATAATACTAATTAGATGAGAAGGTACAAAAGTAGGTACTGGAGTGTATGTGTACAATAAAATGTCTAGGTTCCAGATACCAGAAAAGTTGTTAAGTTGTGTACCATATCTAAGGGTGGGGATATTGGGCAGGGGGTGGTAGAGAAATTAGACCTTCAAAGGCATTGTGTCTATATTTTACTTGCTCTGGATGGGGAAAGAATCACTGAATACATTGCTGATGTATATGCTACATAAGGGAGATACCCTTTTTATTATTTTAAAAAATATTATTATTATTATTATTATTATTATTATTATTATTATTCTGAGCATACTGTACACTGTTTCTTTTCAAAATTGTGAGCATTGCAGCTTAAGAATTGGGATAAGACTTATAGCAGAAATGGCAGTAACTTGTGCTGAAATACATGTACACATTTATGTGATGAGAAAGCCTTCCTGTTTTTTAACATCACAAGAAAGCCTGTAACCCACTTATACGGGAAATACGTAACATTATAACTTATTTAGTTGACCTAGTTCACATCCCACGAGTTTTATTTTTTTTCTCCTCTATACAAAGGAAATACATCAATTTCATCACTCCGTACCAGCTTGAGTTTCAGCACTATGATTGATATGCAGCGTTCCTGGTCTTTTCTTTATTGGTTGTTCTCTGCACATGCTAAGCTTTATGTTATAGAACAAAGAACAGTGGGACCCAAGCTTGGCTGGCTCCATTATCAATTTTTTTTTTTTTTTTTTTGCTCTACTCAGTAGCTTAAATAATATATTTTTCACTGCAAAATACATATCTAACTTTTCAGTCCAACTGAGCCTGCTTTTATTGCACATTTAACAGCTAAATACCAAGTGCTTTTTAGTATCAAACCCAATTTTCTGGCTAATGTGATTCCATTATGCCTGTGTACAGGCAGGCGAGTGCATGTATTTCAACTTCAGAGTGCCTCTAATGTCAGTGACCTTTGCGTTAATGGAGAAATTGGTTATGATTTTTATTAGAGATGCAATATCCACTGGCTGTCAGCAACCTTGAGGTCTTCTAAGCCCTCTTGTTGGTGAAATATGATATTGAAACATTCTTCTTTTTTATTTGGTACAAAACAGATGATTTTCTTTCAGTGAAGCAGAAGGTTTTATTTCACTGATTCAGAATAGAAGTCTTTATAAAAAATAATGATGCAAATACTTCAACCGTTTGCTCTTATGGCTGTGTTGTGAAATGGTTTGATTTAGTGAGAGGCCCTGGTAATGTACCACAGCTCATAGCTGGCGGAGTGAATGATATTGTATTCAGCTGGGTGCTGTTATTTATGATTCCCTCCATATACCTGGAATCTACCGCTGTGGGATGGGAAAGTAAAACTCGTCTATCGTTGGTACGTTATCACCGCAGTTGCCATGGTCGCACAATGTCAAATCCTGCAGTTAAGATGCTTAGTTTTCTATCTGTGTGTTGTCACTTGAATTAAGATGCGTCATCATTCCAATGTTATAGCCTATCTAGTTTCTATTTAAGCAAGAGTCACACCTATAAAGTTTACTGTCTAAAGGCCTTTTTACACTGGATCGCGTACTCTCTGCGTCTAAGAAGGAAGTATGATACAGTGTCACAAGCATATTTTTATTTTACCTTTCATATCAGGTTTGTGTCCAGAGGGTGGATAGAGGGGAGGGGCTTTTTTTCTGAAAAACTGGACATTTTTATTGTTTTAATTGACCCACTTTGAGAAATGGCATTAAACATAGTTGTCATTTAGATTCTGAGCAGAAATTTTCCGGAACCCCACCAAACCATCCCTGCTTAAGAGCCTGGATATTCTGTGCATTTTCAATACATCCCTGTTGGCAAGGCTTTTAATTATCTATTTATATTGCTTATGTGATATGTCTTATCTTGATTCTATTTGGCAAGAGTTACACCTATTTTATATAATTTGTGTTGAAGGAACTTAGTATGACACCTGCCTTGTACACTTTACACTACTTGAATATATGGTAATGGCTTAGAATCTTCAAACACTATACCGTTTTCTTATTCCTTCACTTTTTCCAATAATTATCATTTTTAGATTCCCACAATAATGGACTGTCTGACATAAAGCTAGCCAGCCAGCTTTTGAATTCACTAATTACATAAACAATTTTGAAGAAATAACCCTGAATTCATGTTACTCAAATTTATTGAGCAAGTACCTTACACCAGGAAATAGCTTATCATATCAGTTTCCTTGTTGATTATAAACGCCAGGGGCAAGAATTAGCCAAAAATGTTTTACATATTAATTGTCATCCGTACTTTAAGAAATAAAAATTTTTAACGGAAGGTGGAATCGGAAAGAGATTTAGCAAAAATGATTAGTGTTGTAGGAAATCCGGCATATGCTGTGTATCAGTTACTGCTGTTTTCTTTGAATACTTGTGATAAGATGCAGATAATTAAAAAAGATAAGGTTCAATATTCAGCCATCACATTTATAACACACACGCACGTACGCACACACACGCACATGTCCACACACACACACACCAGAAGTTATATTACTATCTCAGATTAAAATATAAAAATAGGACAGCTTAAACATTAGAAAAAAAGAAAGAAAAATCATGGATAATATAGGAAAATGTGAAAATGGTAGGGTAGTTGTGGGGTAAGTATTATCAAACAATATTAAACATATTTGCAAAGGTTGACAGGCGAATTTAGTTAGCTCCTCTCATTATTTTCAGCTCCTTTCATT